CGTGCGTCCTCTATGGAGATGGCCGGGCTGAGGGCAGGGCGGTTTCCAGCTAACGGGGCCTTCCGGCTAGCTGTGCACGTGTGTTTCTGCCCCCCAGATAAACCTGGGGTCGATTCCGGCCACCTGGGCATCCCCCGCATCCCCGGTCGGCTCCCCTGCCCCCACCGGGGTCTCCTTCGCCCCTCCTCTGCCCCGCTGCCTCAGCCTCACTTTACCTCATCTGCTGAATGGGCACTGGCTCCCAGGAGCACCCGAGCTGGCCCTGAGCCAGGCCCTGCCCCCCCAGGCCCTGGGGACACTGATGATTCAGACGCCAGCGGGCCCTGCCCTGGGAGTTTCGGGGTTCAGCAGGCGACCAAGACAGGGAAAGTAGAGGAGAGAAGGTGGCCAGAGCTGGGATGGGGGACACTGCAGGCGGAGAGGAAGCCCCGAGGAGGCGTGACACCCAGCCTGGACGGGCTGGGCTGTACGAACTGAGGCCAGAACGGTGAGGAGGCGCTGAGCAGGCGTGGGGGATGGTGCTCCTGGTGGAGGGAACAGCCCGGGCAGGGGCTTGGCCAGGAGGCAGCCACTAGAGTGCTGCTGGGGTGGGGGTCATTTGGGGAGCTGCTGAGGGCTGCTGCTCGGGGGGGTTGCACAGCCTCATAGGGCTGGACCAGGGCCCCCTGGTGCAGAACCAGACTGACATTCCTGAACCGGTTAGTGGGGAAGGTTCCGGGGCTCTTCGGAAGGCTTTGTGTCTGCCTCTCTCTCTCCCATCACGGTTCACGGCCCCTCCAGGGGTGGCTGTGCCTGGCTGGATCCTGTCCCGATCTGCCCTGGTCCTCTCTCATACCTTACAGCAGCGTGACCCTCATCTACTGCTGCTTTGACATTTCACATGTAACTCTGGGGCCCCAGTTAGTCAGTCAACAAACGTAGATTGAGCACTTAACAGGAGGGGCAGCAGGGAAACCAGGTGCAGGTGGGAGTGGTCACCCCAGTGACCGGGGGCCGGCCGTGAGTGTGAGGAGCAGAGGCCGGAGGTTGGCATGTCAGGTGGTAGAATCCTTCCTCCTGGGTGACTGGCTGCAGTGTGGGAGTTCAGGCAACCTCAGGTCACCAGTTGGGGAGGCTGGTGGATGTGGGGCTGTTGCAGGTTTGGGGATCAGTTTGGGATCCCCTGGGTCTGAGGGTGTCTGGGGAAAGACCCACAGCCAGTGGCTGGACCTTCAGATCCCAGGGAGGAGGCTGCAGCTGGACGTCGGAGGTGACACTTGAGAGGGTCGACCCCTAGGTCATGAGTTCCTTGAGGGCAGAGTAATGGACCACATCTGGCAAGCTTTGGGGCCACTGGTGTGACCTTGGGACTCTCTACCCCAACAGCTCTACCCCCATGGGCAGTGTTACCTATGGAGAAGGTCTTGAAGATGACAGGAACTCAGGTAGATGTCTTGGGGCCGAGGGGGGGTGCAGCTGGGAGGGAGAAGCTGGCTGAAGTGGGGGACTGGGGAGACCACCCCTCCAAACCTGTAGGAAAGACTTTGCATGGGGTTCTCGTCTGGTTACAAGCAGCCCCAAACCCTATGACTAAATGGTAGACTCCGGATTTGGGGGTGCGAGCCCAGGCTGGGTGTGTGGCCTCAGACGCCTGGGGACCTATTACAGAGCCTCAGTTTACCCCGTGTGTAAAATGAATGAATGTTAATGGTTCTCCCAGCGCCTGTTTTCTGAGCGTAGGGATTTGTCCTGGCTTGGGGCTGGGAGAGCCGCTCTTCAGATCGACTCACGTGAGCGGGCGCCTACTGTATGCAGGGACCAGGTTGGCCCTCCCACTTGTTTATGGGCTCCGACATCTCTGGGCACGAACTGGGTGTCCCCAGCGCTTGGGTCCCACAGGGCCCATTGGCTCTCCCGTGGGGTGTCGTTAGGTGTGTTTGTGCTTACGCCCGGCTCTCGCTCCAGCGCTCACCTGGGAGGTAAGGGCCAACAACCGGGCCTACCACGCGCAGGTGGAGAAGGTGTTTCTGTGCTGGCGGAGGAGGAAGTACAAGGTGGGCAGCCCCTGCCCATGCCCCACAGCTGCCCCCGAGCCCCCTTCCTCCTCTGCAGAATGTGGGTCCCCTCCCCACCCCCCAGCTGCCAGGATCAACCTTCACAAGTGTATTTTTTTACACTATCTGGGTTCCACCTGTACTTGTATTTGCTTGATATTTTTATTTTGATCGCCCCTGATTTGGTTGTAGCACCCCTTCTAACCAAATCATGGGTTTGGTGCATGAGTTATGTGCGTCTCCTCTGCCCCATTCCAGTGCCCGTTAGGGTAAGTTACTACACAGCCCTGAAAGTGCAGTGTGTCCATCAGAGCCCTCCCTAAAATCCTTATGGGTGTCTCACTTTGGGAAATCCTGGGGTCACCACCTGATGAATCTTTGCACTCAGGAGAGGCTCAATTAATGCCGGCTGAAAGCCTTGCATTCAGCAGGCACTCGGTAAATGCTGGCCTGAGGCCTTGCATTTATTAGATAGTTAATGCTGGCTCAAAGCCTTGCATTCAGCAGGCGCTCAGTAAGCACTGGCCCAGTAGATGCTTAATTAATGCTGGCCGTGGCCTCTCGCACCCACAGCCCCAGACGATGCAGGGTGAGGCTGGGGAGGGCAGGGCTGGCAGCGGGGGCCCTCGGCTGGGCAGCACCCCACGCGGGCGGCGCTCCTTGCAGACCAACGTCATCCACACGGCCAAGTACAACGTCTTCTCCTTCCTGCCGCTGAACCTGTACGAGCAGTTCCACCGCGTGTCCAACCTGTACTTCCTCCTCGTCATCGTCCTGCAGGTGGGACATGCTCCACGTGGGGGCCTGCTCCTCCCCTGGCCAAGTCCTGGTCTTGGAGGTCGCAGCAGAAGTGTCACCTTCTCTGGGAAGCCCTCCCTGACCTGACCGCCCTGGTGACATAGCTCCGTCCACCCAGGGCAGCTTTATATATTTGTCTGTGTGACAAGTGGGTGAATTTCCTGCTCCCCACACTGGGAGGGCCCTGGGGACCTTCATTGCTGGGTCCGCACTGCCTGGCCCAGGGCCTGGCACACAGGAGGTGCTCAATATATATGGAAGGATGAAAGTGGATGAGTGGGCCCTCCAGGTCCAAGGAGGGCACCTCCCCTACTCTTCTGGCACCTGCTGACGGGGCGGGGGTTCAGAAAGACGCAGCCCCTCCCAGGCTGATGGCCTCAGCCACGCGACTCCTGTGGCCCCTGCCTGCCGAGCTGACCTCCAAGGGCAAGGAGGAAGGAGGGGTCCAGAGTGGGTGCTCGGGCCCTGCCCGGCCACGTCCTGGTGCCTGGGCCGGTGTCCGACAGGAGCACGTGGTTCTCAGCAGTGGGCACTGTTTCCAGGGCACCCGACCCCGCCCAGCCTTTCATTCTGTCCTGGGCGAAGTGAGACCTGTTTCTACTCCTCCAGTCACTAAACACCAGTGAGGTGCCTACTGTGTGCCAGCCCTAGGCTGGGCACTGGGCACCTGGGGCCACCTGGAGGAGGTGACTAGTGCTCAGACCTGAAGGAGACCAGGAGGAAGAGAGTCACAGGCGGGAGGGGACAGTGAGGGCCAAAGCCCTGAGGAGGGACAAGCTTGGGGCCGGGGAGGGCTCCCTGGAGAAGGTGACGTGGGTGCTGGCACGGGACCGAGAGGAGCTGGCTGAGGAGACGAGGCCTGGACAGAAGTTCCAGGCGGTGGAAGGATTAGAGGGGCGTTGTCCCAAGATGTGGGGTGTGGGGAGATGGCTGGACCTGGGTGGTCAGTGGGTGGGTCGCAGGCGGCCAGGCTGAGGGTGGAGTTTGCCCAGGGGGAGGCCCGGGAAGGACACGGAGGGTGGCCCCGCTGTCTGGCCGGCCTGACCCCCGTCTGTGTCAGAGCGTCCCTGAGGTCTCCACGCTGCCCTGGGTCACGCTGTTCGCCCCACTGCTCTGCCTCGTCCTCATCCGCGCCACCCGTGACCTGGTGGATGACATCGTAAGTGGGGTTGGGTGGGTTGGCCGGGGGACGGGAGGTCAGGGCAAGGTCCGCAGAGCCCTGGGCTGGTGTGGGCGGGAGGGCTGGGCTTCACAGAGCTTCAGGTGGCTGAGGGCCTGAGAATGTCACTTTTAGTGACTTGTAGGTGGGAGGTGTCCTCCTGCTTTTCCTGCAGCTGTGCTGAGCAGGTGTCTGTGGGCTCATGGATCACATCATGTCGGTGTTTTGTGACTTGGTGTCTGTGCTGGGCAGGTGTCTGTGGGTTCTGTGGTCACATTGTTGTGGCTGTCTTGTGTTTGGTGGCTGTGCTGGGCAGGTGTCCGTGGGCTCTGTGGTCACATTGTGGTGGCTGTCTTGTGTTTGGTGGCCGTGCTGGGTGCATGGTCTGACAGCCACTCTGGATGGCAGGCAGAATCTCTCTTTTTTCTTCTGCCGACTACAATTTACCTGCAGCCCCCACCCAAGGGCTCCCAAGACAGACACACTGTGGTGTGATGCGGGGTGTGCTGGTGGGACTTCTGCTGGGCAGTCACCATGGTGGGGCAGGGACAGGGTGTGGCCGTCCGAGGGAGGCAGGGCCATCTCCCTGATCCACTGCCTGTTGGCCCAGGGGCGACACAGGAGCGACAAAGCCATCAACAACAGACCCTGCCAGGTCCTGATGGGGAAGAGGTGAGGCCAGTGGCTGTTGCCTTGTCCACCTGGGGGCAAGGACGCTCCAGCACAGGCAGGGGTCAGCCAGGGCAGTGCGGGGTGCCCAGCAGAGTGTCCGTCACCTTCTGTGCTCCTGGACCTCCAGGACGGGGCCCGCATTTATTAGGCGCCTGGACTGTGTTGCTAACGCGCAGAGCTTAGAGTTCAACCAAAGGGGAGGGCAGGAAAGTGTGAAAAGGACTTGGATATGGGACCCTGGAGGTCACCGGACAGGGGTGTGGGCCCCTGAGGAGGGGGCGGGAGGCCAGGGAAGGCTTTCTGGGGGAGGCAGTCGCTGAGCTGGGCTTTGTAGGCTGCAGAGGGAGCGACGGGTGGGAGGAAAGGCCTGGAGGTGGGAACTCAGGGAGGCAGAACGCCCCCAGGACCCAGCTATGGCCCCGTGGGGACCCCAACCCTCCGCTCTTCCAGCTGGGGGTTGGGCCCAGTAGGGGGTGGTGCAGCGAGCCCCCCTCACCCCTCACCTCCTGCAGCTTCACGCAGAAAAAGTGGAAGAATCTGCATGTGGGAGACGTGGTCCGCCTCAGGAGGGACAGCATCGTCCCAGTGAGCTGGTGGTGGCCCGGCCCCTCCCCGTGAGAGCTCCCCTCCCCGTGAGCGCTCCCCGGGGTCTCTCATCCCCCGTTGCAATGCTGTCTCCTGCCCCCCACCGCAGGCTGACCTGCTCCTGCTGGCCAGCACGGAGCCCAGCAGCTTGTGCTACGTGGAGACGGCTGACATCGATGGGTGAGGAGCCACATGTCACCAGGGGGCTGGGGGGCTTGGGCGTGAGGCCCAGAGGAGCTCCCCTTTCCCAGTGCCACAGGCCTGGCCCAACAAGCCAAGCCCATGAAGATATTTTGGTCATTTACCCTGTGAGCATTTATGGGAAGGAGTGGAGGCCAGCAAGGCTCTGCACGGGCTTTCCCAGCCAGCAGGGGTAACGAGAATAAGCCGCGGGCAGGCACAGAGGGAGCCTTTGTGAGCCAGCGTTCCGCAGGCCCTACTGTGCGCCTGAGGGCAAGGGGGGCCAGGTTCCACCCGCTGCCCTTTGGCGAACGCGCTGTGTGGCCTCGGGCAAGGCTCTCTCCCTCTCTGGGCCTCAGCCTTCTGGTGGGCAGACAGCTAACGCACAGTAGGTGCTCAGTGAACATGCTTGAGGGGCTGGAAGGGGGCTGGGAGCCGTCACCCCAGGGTGTCATCATCACCTCCTTCCCCTTCTCATCACCAGGGAGACCAACTTGAAGTTCAGACAGGCCCTGATGGTCACCCACCACCAACTGACCAGCGCCAGGAGGATGGCGTCCTTCCAAGGTGAGAGGCGTTGAGGGGACAGCAGTCCACGCACCCCACCCGGGTCCCTGTTTCATGGCCCCTAAATCTGTAAAAGTTGGCGTAAAATTCTTGCTGCTGTTACCATTGTTGCAAAACGTGCCCAGCATTTTATTTGGTGTTTAAACTTTATTTTTAAAACACGACGGTGATGACACGAACATTTTTGATTGGTTCATCCAAAAGGCAGCCTGTGTGCGTGGACCGATGACCCACGTGCTGGGGAAGGCTCACGGGATCAGTGGTCCCCCCTCTCTGACCCTGTGGGGACACAGGCTCAGAGAGAGGCAGTGAGTGCAAATCCAGCACTTCTCACTAGATCTCAAAGACCCCGGATGCTTGGCAGGGAGGGGGCCTCTGGATTTTGGCTGGTCCAGCCACCCCAGCATTCCCATGGGGCATGGCCCCATGTTTCAGAGGATGAGACTGAAGGTCAGAGAGGTAGTGAGGGGCATGGGCTCTCCATGTTTCTCCTGCCCCCGACGCCCCCGGACATCTCCAGGTCCTACTTTCAGGACTGAGTCTCCCAGTCCCAAAGGCAGAATGGGGCTGGCAGGCCAGGACCAGTCAAGAAACCTGTAGACCCTCTCCCTTCTGGGGTCTCAGCCCACACCCCATTGTAATTTTGGCCCTCACTGAATACTGCCCTGAGCCAGACTTTGCACCCTAAGCCCATGTTCTCAAACGGAAGTGATGCCAATGCCGTTCTGCTTCAGGGTAACAGGAAGGGGGCAATGGAGGACGGGCCCCAGCGCCCAGCAGGAGCAGGATGCTGGGTGAGCCTCCCCCGAGGAGGCGTCCCTTCTCTCCTTTTCTCCTCCCACGCTGATTGAGCACCTACTGTATGCCAGGTGCTGGATTGTGCTCGCAGAGCTCACAGACACCAGTGATACCAGGCCATGAATCAGTGTCTAGCCATGTCCCAGAATCAGAACCATGAGGGATGGGGCTGGGTGGCTGGAGGGCCAGAGAGGTGTGAGCTGGGGCAGGGTGCACAAAGACCCTGAGGCCAGGAGGGGTCACTTCGGAGCATCCCAGAAGAGGCTGTGTGGTGGAAGTGGGGAGCTGGAGGGTGACAGGGATGTTCCCCCAGCACTGATTGGAGAGGGGTGGCTGGGAGCCCAGGGAAGAGGGCCTGAGCTCAGCCACATCGTTGGCTGCTGACTGCCTGGTCACCCGCAGGCACAGTGCTGTGTGAGAAGCCCAACAGCCGGATGCACCACTTTGTGGGGTGCCTGGAATGGAATCACGAGAAATACCCTCTGGACATTGGCAACCTCCTCCTCCGTGGCTGCAAGATCCGCAACACAGACACCTGCTACGGACTGGTCATCTATGCTGGTATGGCTGTTTCCAGGTTCCTGGAGCATGTGCCGTCCAGGCCAGGGTCGGGGTAGGTGAGAAGCTGCAAGGCCAGGCTTGGCTGCCACAGATCTGCTGAGTGACTGGTCCTGGCTCAGGCTCCTCTGGGTCCTGGATACTGAAATTGTTAAGAATGGACCTGTTGAGCCAGTACTCTTGTTCTGGCTGGAAAACATGGGATTGTTTGCATGTAGATGGAAAGGTGGGCACATGGGTGAGTGGGTAAATGGGTGGATGGATGGGTGGATGGGTGGGTGGATGGATGGGTGGATGGTGGATGGATGGGTGGGTGGGTGGATGGATGGATGGATTGTGGATGGATGGATGGATGGATGGTGGATGGATGGATGGATGGATGGATGGGTGGATGGATGGATGGGTGGATGGTGGATGGGTGGATGGATGGATGGTGGATGGTGGATGGATGGGTGGATGGATGGTGGATGGATGGATGGATGGATGGATGGTGGATGGGTGGATGGATGGTGGATGGATGGGTGGATGGATGGTGGATGGATGGGTGGATGGATGGTGGATGGATGGGTGGATGGATGGTGGATGGATGGGTGGATGGATGGTGGATGGATGGGTGGATGGATGGTGGATGGATGGGTGGATGGATGGTGGATGGATGGGTGGATGGATGGTGGATGGATGGGTGGATGGATGGTGGATGGATGGGTGGATGGATGGTGGATGGATGGGTGGATGGATGGTGGATGGATGGGTGGATGGATGGTGGATGGATGGGTGGATGGATGGTGGATGGATGGGTGGATGGATGGTGGATGGATGGGTGGATGGATGGTGGATGGATGGGTGGATGGATGGTGGATGGATGGGTGGATGGATGGTGGATGGACGTGGGTGGGTGAACAGATGGATGGATGGATGGGTGCAAACCCTGCAGGTTTTGATACAAAGATCATGAAGAACTGTGGGAAGATCCATCAGAAGAGAACCAAGATGGACCTTCTGATGAACAGGCTGGTGATCCTGGTGAGCTGCTGACAAGAGCTCCTGCCCTGGGGGGCATGGAGGTGGGATGGGGGAAGAGCTCTACCCTGCAGACAGAAGCCTCACTATCATTTTTGGGGCCTCAGTTTCCCTTCTCTGCAAAATGGGCAGCCTGATCCTATGGACAGGTCTTTGGGACAGAGAATCTTTTGTTAAAACAACTTTAGGGTGGCAGTTGGCTCAGTTGGTTAGAGCGCAGCCTTGTAACACCAGGGTCAAGGGTTCAGATCCCTGACCGGCCAGCCACAACAAACAAACAAACAAAGTTTTTAGAGATGTTCTATAAAAAATTTTGATCCTGACGTTTTCCAAACTGGCAGGAAATAATAACACGCTCATCTCTCCTCTGAAATTTAGCAATTCTTTATCTTTTGCCCAATCAACTTTATCTTTTTAAAAGTTACTGCAATAAAAGATCAACCACCTAAGTCTGGCAAAATCCCTGGAATTTTCCAGGGATTTTGGAAATTCCCTTCCCCCTTGCACCCCCTGGCCCGTCCCCTCTCCCCTCACCTGGACGGGTGGGAGAGCTTCCGTCTCTGTGTCTGTCCTTTTACACGAGGTGTCCCCATGGGTGAGTCGCTGGGGTATCTCGGGGCCCCAGGTGCTCCCACACTGTTCACCGCCCTCCCATCCACCATGCAGATGTTCCTGTCCCTGGTGATCATCTCCTTGGCATTGACCTTGGGCTTCAGTTTCAAGGTCAGAGAATTCAGAGAGAAGCATTACTACATCTCGGCCCAGCACGGGCACCACGTGGCCATGGAATCCTTCCTCATCTTCTGCAGCTTTGTCCTCCTCCTCAGCGTGATGCTCCCCATCGCCATGTTCATCATGTGAGCACGCCCATTGTTCAGATGGGGGAAAGTGAGGCCCGCGGTGGGGTGGCAGGGGCGTGACCCCCAGTGCACGTGTGCGTTCCTAGAGCCGAGTTCATCTACCTGGGGAACAGCGTCTTCATCAACTGGGACCTGCGGATGTACCATGAGCCACAGGATGTGCCCGCCGAGGCCCGCAGCACCAGCCTCAGTGACCAGCTGGGCCGGGTGGAGTATGTCTTCTCTGACAAGACGGGCACGCTCACCCAGAACGTCCTGCGCTTCAGCAAGTGCTGCATCAATGGCAGAGTCTACGGTGGGGCCCCGCCCCACCGCCCGCCAGGTCCCCTTCCCCACCGGGGCTGCCCGGGGGGTCTGCCCACACCCTGAGCCCCGAGTGGGGGGGCTGGTACCACTCTCTCCAAGGCAGAGCCAGGTGCCTGATGGCCAGGGCCACTGTTGTCCCCACACCCAGCATTCCCACCCCAAATCTGAACCATAGGAAGTAGCCACATGGCACGGTCTCGTCTGGGGGCCGGCAGAGGTTTCCCGTCAAGGGCTAGTGGGTCCCTATTTTCGGCTGCTCGGGCCACACAATCTGTCGCGACTCAGCTCGGCCGTAGTCCGGTGGAGACAGCTACAGACCATACAACCACGAACGGGCATCCCAAGTAGCCTTTCTTTGCCGGCGGATGCTAAAATGTGAAGCTCAGAGGCTTTTCACATGTCACGAAATGGTGGTCTTTTCACTGCCACAGACCATTACTTGTGGAAGCTGAAATTTGAATTTTGTAGCATTTTCTTTTGGGGGGGATTTTTTTTCCCCAGTTTATTTATTGATATTACTATTTGGGGTAAGGGGGAGGGGAAAGGGGAAGGAAATAGGGTGGGAGCAAGAGGAAGGAGGGGGTGGGGCTGAGACCTGTGGCCCCCCATTCCTGCAGGAGAGACCAGGGGCTTCCAGCGGGGGCTTGGTCATTGCTGGGCTGGACACAGATGTCAGAGGGGAGCAGCTGAAGCCTTCCTCACCCCCCAGCTTGGGAGCCTGGGATGCTTCCTGTGGTGGCTCAGTGGTTGTCAGGGGCTGGTTGCAGATGTTGGGGGGATGTGGCCGAGGCCCTCACCCCCCGCCCCCCTGGCTCGGGCACTTGTAGCATTTTTTTTTTTCCTTTTTGTCTTTTTTCGTGACTGGCAACGGATCGCAACCCTCAGTGTCGCGCCCGTACCAGACCGGGACCGGCATGGGATCACAACCCTCGGTGTTGCGCCCGCACCTCGCTCAGCCAGTGAGCGGCTGGTCTGTATGTGGGATCCGAACCCTCAGTGGGAGCGCCGCCGCGCTCCCAAGCGGCGCACCGGCCCGGCCCAGCATTTTTATGGGTCACAAAATAGTATTCCTCTTGCCACTTTCCCCAACGATTTAAAAACATAAAAACAATTCCCAGCTCATGGGCCATATAAAAATTGGAGGGGGCAGGGTGTGGTTTGCCAGTCCCTGCTCTAACTCACAACTGGGGTACGTGGTTTAGACCAGGATCTCAGGGGACCTAGCTGGGTAATTATTTAGTGTAGTGAGCAGTCCCTGTTATGAGAAATGGTAAATGTTCAGCCATAAAAAATGGGCCTGTGCCCCCTAATACATGCCACCTTCCCTTCAGCCAGAGTCTGGGGGTTACAGGGACCAGGGGTCTGTGGCTAGCAGGAGATGGTGCACTCAGGTCAAAGGGGGTGGCCACCGTTCGGCATCAACCCTGAGCCAGGTCCTCTGACGGCAGTTTCCAGAAGCGGTGTGGATCAGGTGTTTACGTGAAATCACTTGACTTTTCCTTTTTTTTTTTGTCTTTTTTCGTGACCGGCAACGGATCGCAACCCTCGGTGTTGCGCCCGCACCTCGCTCAGCCAGTGAGCGGCCGGTCTGTATGTGGGATCCGAACCCTCGGTGGGAGTGCCGCTGCGCTCTCAAGCGGCGCACTGTAGCAGGCGCACTGTAGCAGGCGCACTGTAGCAGTGCGCCACCGGGCCGGCCCCGAAATCACTTGACTTTTCAAAGCTGACCACCAAGTCCCAGTTTTAAAAAGATACCATGAGAGGATCACAGAAGTTGTTCCATGGGGCTGATTCCTGCTCCAGGCTGCCCTTTTGGGACCCCGGGGAAACATGGCTGTGTCTTTTCTTCGTTTGTGCAGAAAGAAAAACTGAGGTCCAGGGACCTTGGTTGCTTGGGGTGTTGGGTCCAGAGCTCCAGGCCTGGCTTGGCTGGCTGCATCTGGTGAGCCCCCAGATTGGGGGACAGGGGCTGTGGGACCCGAGTTGGCCCCATCCAAGGAACTGAAGCCTGAAGCCGGGTCTCTCCGCAGGTCCAGAGGACAGGGACGGGATTCAGCCTCAGGTGAGACCCACTCACTGTGCTGCCCCTGGTGGTGGTGGGGGTGAATTTCCGGGAACCCACCTGGAGCCGGCCTGTCCCCATCATCCCCAGGAGAACCCCTACCTTTGGAACAAACTCGCCGACGGCAAGTTGCGCTTCCACAACGAGGACCTCCTGCACGTGGTGCGGCACAACAGGGACAGGGTCGTGCGCGAGTTCTGGCGCCTGCTGGCCATCTGCCATACGGTGATGGCGCACCAAGAGAAAGGTAGCGGGTGCCGTGGGGCCGGTCCCCTCCCGCTCCTCGTCCTCTCCATCTCAGACGTCGCTCCTGGGCTCCTGAGATGGTCTCCCGGCCTTGGGGCTTGTGTAGCCCAGCCTCTGGGGCTCCTTTCTCTGGGCTTAGCGGTTGTACAGGCCCAAGAAACCGTCGTCCCATGTGAGCCCCCACCGTGGAGATGGAGACAGGACCCCCAAAGAGCCCGCATGTGGCAAGCTCTTGGCAAATGTGCGTTTCCCCCTCCTGCCCTCCTGCCCTCTCCCCCCACCACCCCCATTGGCCCCCCCCCCCCCCCCCCCC